GTTATCGAATTTTAAAGCATTAAATAATAGAAGAAAAAAGAACATATTATTATGTGATTTTTCAAATTATGTAATTTTAAAAAATTACATAATAATTTGGAACAATACATGACGGTTTACATGTTTTAATTGATTTCATTATGCAACTATGTAATGTGATTTTTTTCAATAAGGGCTCTTCTGTATACATATGTTAATAATAAATTTATGTAAATTTGTATAGATGGTTATGCTCGCTGGTGGTACGGGCATCACGCCAATGCTACAACTAATTCGTGCAATAATAAAAGATCCTACGGACGAAACTCAAACCTCTTTGCTATTCGCCAATCAAACAGAAAAAGATATCTTGTTACGAAACGAATTAGATGAAATCGCCAAGAAGTACCCGAATAAATTGAAACTTTGGTATACATTAGATTCAAGTAGTGATAAATGGCTTTACAGTACAGGATATATAAGCGCTGATATGATAGAAAAGCACATGTTTCCACCGTCACCTGACACTATCGTACTTATGTGCGGGCCACCTCCAATGATCAATTTCGCTTGTACTCCGAACCTTGATAAAGTTGGCTACGATACTAAATTACGGTTCGCGTATTAATTGATCATTAAAATCGTAGACAGTTTGCATTATCTAGAAATTTATATACTTTTTTTTAATATTCTTCAGTCAAGAATTAAAGATCTGTTTTTTGTTGATTGAATGTATGATTCATTGTAATGAAGGATTTCAAATAACGTGGTTATGCTCCAATCAGAGAGGTCCGTGTGTTGGAAGATTCCATCAAAACTTATCCATAAAGACACCTCTAAAGTATTGATAACTATTATATAAGCACATAAGTCATAAACTTACAATAATCAATGAAATGCATCTATTAGTAGCTGTATAAGTAACCATACTAACAACATAGTGTGGTCACTTTCCAGTAGTATAAGAATATCGATCCATAAAACATATTTACAAGGCATGCCAATCTTATTCTTTTTTGCTTTTTTTTTGTTATTGGAACAGGCTGCTGTGATTGCCGAATAAATAAAATTCATAGAGCTTAATTTAAGAAAAATAGTTGCAAATCAAATGCATGTGAAATGAATATTTACCTTATCACTAAAATATACTTTATTCAATCTTATATCTGTATGTTTATTATTATAAAAATGACTTGTGTATAAAACAAATTAATAAAGTATATTGTTAGTGTGTGTGTGTGTGAAATATTCATGTAAAGTATTGCATCTCAAAGCATTTATTAATATCGAATCTATTGTAATGTTATAAAAAATTTTGAACATATAATAAATGTGCTTCTTATTGTATAATATTTTATTTGTGAAAGATCGAGAAATGGAATATAATTCATATATAAATGACAAAATGTTCAAAAAGTGGAATATATCTCCTTACTATCATTAGTACATTAATATTATCAAATGCGTTATCCGTCACAATGAGATTAACTCAATATTTAATTAAACACATTAATTAATTTAAGAGGCCACATATGCATGAAAAATTGCAGGCAATTATAAAATCAAAGCGAGAGTAAACATTTATTTTTTTCTTAATGAATGAATGAATGAATTAACAACGTCCTCTATCTTGCACGCGTTTTCTAGGAGCCGCGCGCAAAATATCGTCCACCCGAAGTATCATTTCTGCTGCTTCAGCCGCACTCACGAGAACTTGCCTCTTCACTACCCAAGATTCGGTGATTCCTAACCGTTTCATACATCCGACTTTACCCATTTGCATATCTGCAAGATTAGAGAACAAATTTAATTTAACTTGATATTTTGTCATAAAACTATTTAGCGCCACTCACGCGCTATTATATATTTAAAAATATTTTCAACGATAAAAGAGCATAAGAATTTGAAACTTACCTAATCCCATGGTGTTGCCCACAGAATTATGCGCGGCTCTCAACTCACTAACCAATTGTGCTGAATCATAGCCAGCATTATCGGCAATAATGGTTGGCAGTTGCTGTAACGCTCGTGCAAAGGCTTCCATCGCAACAGCCTCTTTACCTGGCGTAGCCGCGGCCGCTCGCATAACAGCACAAGCCATAATCATCTCGCTGCACCCACCACCGTAAACTATTCTCGACTCGCGTACCGTAGCTGCTAAAACGCAAAGCGCGTCATGCAGCGATCTCTCGGCTTCATCGATGATCTGTTGCGTTGCGCCACGAATAACAACGGTGCACGCTTCACCCAATGGAACTCCAGAGAATCTTAAGAGTGTATCTTCTCCTATCATGACCTGAAAAATATAACAACGCAATTGGTATGTAATTAAAGTTACAACAAAACTAGTAATTACACACACGCGCACGCACGCATTAGAATCGAGTGCTCCACCATATGGAATATTATGTATGAATTACAAACGTAAATTATAAATTTACCTGTTCAATAAGATTGCATTTTCCCAATTTGACTAAATCGGGATTGTCAAAAGTACTAACAATCTCACCACCAGTAACGAGCGAAAGTCTTTCGATACCATCAAAATCAGCATGCTCGATAGCCATAATTCCAGCATCAGCAAATAATTGTTCCGGATAATTGTATATCAATTGCCTATTGATAAAGACGGTGCAACCATGCTTCAAAATTTTGTCAATCTTATCCTGTGTAAATTCAGAAGATTATATCATTATTATATTAATTAAATAACAATAAAAACAAGGGCAAAGTAAGAATCAACGCATTTTTCTGAAAAAGTCATACAGATGAATAAGAGATATAGAAGGAATAAATTAAAAATACAAAAAATAATAATAAAAAAGAAAGAAAAGATATATATTAAAACAACGAGTAAAAGCGTACAAGTTTCGGCTACCGGATTAAGCCCTCTTCAGACATTAACATATAAAAAAAAAAAACCCCGCAGTACAAAAATAATTCACGGAAATGTTAATTTCTCAGTCACGGACTGAGAAAAGAGACGGACATAATGTCCGTGGTGATCCGTATTAGCGAGCGTACATAACAATTGATACACTATGTCTGTCTTACACATCTGCGTTCCACCTAATTTATTGTAGTATATTCTGGTGGTTTTTTATTCTTGTATGGACACGCCTGTTTGAATAATTTACACTTGTTTTTTTAACTGTTTCAAGTGACATGAAACACATTTAACTACTCAATTATATGCGAATAATGTCGAGTTTTACATCGAGACTCACCCGAACTGTGATTATGCGAACATTTCCGTTAATTATTTTTGTACTTTTTTTTTTGATATGTTAATATCTGAAGAGGGCTCAATCCGGTAGCCGAAACTTGTACGCTTTTTTACTTGTTTTAATATATATCTTTTCTTTCTTTTTTATTATTTTATTATTTTTTATATTTTTAATTCATTCCTTCATCTGTATGACTTTTTCAGAGAAATGCGTTGACTCTTACTTTTCCCTTGTTTTTATTGTTATTTAATTTATATATGAAGAGTCCTTGAATTGTTCTTTATATATTATTATATTAAACTTTATAAATATGCGTGAAGAACCTTTAGAAATGTCCATTACCTTCATTTTTTCTTTTTCCGCAGCTTCTAATTCTGCTATCTTCGCCATTGAATCTACACGTACTCTAGAGCCAAATACCTATAAATAAATAAATGCATATAACATTAGATTTGTTAAAAAATTAAGAAAAATATACATAACAGAAGGAATATAAACCTTGATTTTATCCGTGTCCATAGATGTATTAGCGATAAGTATACGTGCGTCAGAAACTTTTTGTGGTTGGTGAACACCCGGTTTTTTATCTAATAAAAATCCTTCATCTAAGAAGGAATCAGCAAGTGTTGCACCACGTTTTTTTATAACTTGAATCGCAGACAAATTACCAGATCCTTTAAGACGCAACACTGCATCAACTGCAAGCTTGCTAAAGTGCTGCTTGTGCTGAGATAAAATCTTGGAACTTAATGTTGTACGAGCAATATTTAATAAATCCTCTCGAAATCGATCAGGATCTGCAGAATTGTCTGTGGCTGCATTTTTTAAAGCCTCAGTTGCTACATTTGTAGCATTTCTCCAACCACTAATGATAGTTTGTGGATGAATCTTCTGATTCTCGATTAGCTTCTCGGCTTCTCGCAAAAGTTCAGCAGCTGTAAAAAAAAGAAAATTAAAGATTATTAAAGATATTTAATAATATTTAAGATTAAATAATTTAAAAATTCAAGTGAGTAATCGTATCAACAATTTATTATACACGCTACCTAAAAGATACACATGTTCCTACATTACTACAGTTATTGTGAAGAATATTACTAAGGTCTCAGTTTAAAGATTTAGGACGCTCTCACGGAATATTAGAAATCTGGATTCGATTACTGACTGAGGTAATATTTTTCGCAATAAATGTATTTATTTATAATGTATTATAGATTTTCAATATATTATTATGATGCAAATTAAACATAAAATTATTAAATTGCTAATCAATTTAATTTGTGATATTATTTGTGATATGATAGTTCAGTTATGTGTAGAAAATCAATTTGGTTTGTAATTTAAGAAATTACAAATGTGATATATAAATTCATATGAAATTATTTAAAAGCATTCAAGATTCAGCTTTGACTAATATGGGCATTCTCTTAATCATATCATATTTACCGAGAACAGTGACTGAAGTGGTACCATCACCCACTTCATCATCTTGGACACGAGACATATCTACCAAAATCTTGGCAGCAGGATTATCAACGCCAATACTTTTGAGGATAGTAGCACCATCATTAGTAACATGTACTTGTCCCGAAGATCTACCATGAGATACAAGTATCTTGTCCATGCCTTTAGGACCAAGCGTAGATTTGACCAGATCTCCAATGGCTATAACTCCAACAAACGAGCTCAATCTAGCAATTTCTGCCTTCTCCTCTCCGGCCTCATTTTTGAGGATCCGCACTGGATTTAAGGAGACCTTACAATCAAATAAGATAAAAGAATTTATTTAGTTGCTCATGATAGAATTTTTCATTTAAAATAATCATAACCACTTTTAAAATGTAACAACTACTTATGAGTACATGTGCGCGTCAAAGATTCAATCAGTTTAAAAGCCAATTGAAAATCTTAGTCTACAAAATGCATCAAAGTCATTTATCGTGCAATTATTATTTATTCCTTCAACAACGTGAGCCGTTTGTCATGCTTTTTGAAGACCGGGTTCTGACGATCGCAAAAGAATCACAGCATTGACTACACAGGCGAGATTACTGGAGCGCGATAATTACCATGGTAAGTCAATCGATGTACGCAGATATTTTTCTCCAAAAAAATCACACAAATTCGAAAATCTTCGATACACAGTGACTGTCTAAATAGGGCTAATAGGAGACGTTTGCGATTCAGGCATTCAGGCAGCTACCGCCATGCTGTGTGAACCGTTTCTATGAAGCGATTTATTTTCCATCTGTCTGTGATTCGCTGCTTTTGGACATCAGGAAGTATAAGAACGAATTATAAATCCGATTGAGAAGCACATGCGCGATTAAACCAATCAAAAAGAATTTTGAACACTTTTTTTTTTAGGATATATATTTAATGCGATACTTGTTTTATAGCGAGTTATATTCTGAATTTAATTCCTTTTAAGGTTCGATTTATATGCGATTAGTCAACTCTGATTTTTCACATTATTTTATAGCAATAATAAAATATTAAATATATAATTACGTAAAAAAATGATGTATAAAATATAAATTAAAAGAAACACGAAAAGTGTATAAATAAAAAAGATAAAAAAGGATAATTAAAAAAGTTGGTTATAGAACAAACATACAAATTATTATATATAATTTATTATCAGTTACATAAAAAATTGTATGATGTGAATAATACATTTTGGAACGATGTGTGAAATATTTATTTAATTATTTTTTAATATTTTTATAAATTATATAACACTCATTATTTCCAGCACTGATGTATCGAATGACCTAAAAATCCAGTATAAATAATTATAATGTTTTTATATATTATCTATAACAGATACATATAAATGAATTAATTCACACATACTTGGATTTTATTTCGTCACCTGGAATGTAAAATGGATTGCAAACAGCATTGGAGTATGCAGCATGTAGCTTCTTAAATATCTATTAACAGATTATCAAATATTTACATTTATTGCAAATTATAATTAAAATATTATATTAAGTTTATATATGGGGCATAAAAAGAATATTACCATTTTTATTTCGTTATCCCGTAATGATACATTAGATGATTGCAATACTATGACAAATTTAATCTTTGTGTTTGTAGCATAACCATATCTGAAAATAAGAATATTAAAATGTATTTAATGCCTAATTTGTAGGTATGTTATAGAGCGACGTTATATGAGAGTAATATTACATACATTTTGTATTCTTCAGTCGCAAATAACAAGCCTAAGTATAAATCACGTATATCAACTGTCGTTTTATTCCCTACATTCAACTTTTCCTCTATAATATCAATTGATGTATGTACTTTGTAATGAAATTGCAATCCAGCAGCTTCATCCGTACATTGATATATTTTGATAAATTTTGGAGAATTCTACAAAATATTCATTATTATTTAGAATAATTCGATGTTTACAACGCGTAAAGAAACTCGCTGAAATAAATGTGCTTTACTGTATTTATTGGAAAATTTTTGTTAATATGTCATAACCTATCAAGCAGAATATAGCTTATTTATACTTGCATCTTTGCCAATAACAGCTACGCAAGCAGCCATTTTAGAAGATTCTATAAAAATACAAAAAGAATTCTGTTATAATGCACTGTACATTTTTGCGAAATGTATTTTTATGCGAGAATAATTGCGAGCACACAACGTAAATGTTCCGTAATTAGTACTGACGCTAGGTTAGAATACCACCGTGTCGATTGTTTGAATAAAAAGAAACATTCTTTAGATGAAACATTTTACTTATAAAGCATAAAATATAAATATTAGCGCAGTACAAAGAATATACACATTAGATGTAAACTAATTTTAACTAATTTTTTATGACAATTACATATTAATTAATTTATATACAAAACATAGTAGTAATTTATATAGCATTATTATCACACATCTACAGTTAATGTGTCATGTAAACTCTTTTCTTTTATTATTGATCATAGTATCTTCTCTTCAATGTTCTGTACTTGCGCAACATGTACAAAGCTTCCAACTCTTTTATTACAAAATTACCGTGATTTATCATTTTATCTATCTTTTCAGAGTCGGTCTCTGTTTTGTTTTTATCAAAGGCTCTCTTTAGCTTGGTTCTGAAATATTGATATCCTTTTGGGTAGTCTCGGCCCATGTACAACAGCTGAAAGACAACGCAAAACGAAAATTTGAAAAAATGTGCAATAAGTGAAAAAATGTACATTTTTTAAGTTTATATATTTACATCTTAAGAAATATATGCTCGCTAGAATGATACTAGAATGATATTGAATATATATTAATTTGTATATAACACTTTATTACCGTTTTGTATAAATGAATAACTTTAGTGCGTTGTGACATGACACAATCAATCTTGATCTAGTTAGCAACTAACTCGGAGTCTTGTGAAATCTTTCAAGTCAATTGACAAAATGATAATTATTATCATCTGTGATTATTTCTATTGGAAACAGATAAAAATTCTTCAGTATAAGTGCACTTGACATATAAGCATTTTTAAATATATTCTTTGTTCCTATATTTTTTATATTATTCATTTTTTCTCGTTTCCATTCCATTATATTATGTAATTTATATATGTATATATCTATATTTTATTTTAAGTGCAGAAAGTGTAAGTAGTGTAACTATAAGGAACATTAAATGTTCTTTATATAGCTTTATATAAGTTGTGATATGGACAAAATATATTTTTTTAGTACGATTAACTATTAAAGCTACTATATATATATATATATATATATAAAATATATAATGCCGTATTTATAGTCGGACCTTGTACTTAAGGTTTCCTTAAATTTATCTTCAGATGCTCAGTAGCCGATGAAATAATTCATAGAGTATCTGAAGATAAATTTAGGGAAGCCTTAAATATAAGGTCTGACTATGAATATAGGTTAGGCTATGTTTCAAAACTTCCTCTTCGAGGAAAATTTTACTCGAAATATATAGTACACTTAACGTATACTATAGTATGTAGAGTATGAAATCTTCCTTCCGAGAGGAAGTTTTGGAACGTAGCCTAAAATTATAATCATAATCCTGAAAATTGTTTCTCATAATATTAAAAGGCACCCTAATTATCCTTGTGTACCAAAGAATTGCAGGAGCATTCTTATATTTGACATATGTTTAAAGTTTTTGTACTGACACACGTCTCCACCAACGTATATGTACTACAGACTAACTTTAATCTCGGTTCAACTTGCTCTTCATTTTTTCTGAATTGAAAAAATGGAAAGTAAAAAACAAATAAAGTATTGAACTGAGATTAAAGTTTATTTATGTTGGTAGAATTTATTTAAACCAGTCAATCAAAAGATTCTACAGTTGTGTCCGCCAATTGACGACATGGGCTGAATCGGTCGCCAGTGCTACTCAACTTCACATTAACAAAGGAAATTCCCCGTTATTTTCCTCTAATTCTTCTAGAAATTTCCGAACATAAATAGATATAAAAAAGTTGATTTATTTGTACTCCAAGCTCCAGGCATAATCAGTTATTATCTGTTTTCTCGAGAAGTAAATCTTTCCGCATAACAATACTGAGGTAAATTTTATATTATTTACATGATTAAATCTCCGTTTTTCGTCCTAAATTAATAAATTACCATGATATTTTTGCAAAGATGAATAAAATAAATGCATAAAAGTTAGTGCTTTTCACAAAACCAGAATAATATCGTCATGATATTATCAATAATGTTTACAGAGAATAAAACAAATGTTGAGAGCTCCATTTTTCCCCCGATATTTGAAAATTATACTTTGATGTATATTTCTACTTATTTCTATTATTATATAATGTAGTTTTATTGTAAAAACTGATATTAAATGTTTTTAATCATATTTATTTACATATGTATCCTTGTACACTAGTTTTATCAATATACAATAACGTTTCTATTCTCTTGATAAATATTTGATAATGATTGATGATGAATTTCATTGCTGCGATAATATGTCTTTTCCTTATTATATCTTCTTTATATAAATCATTGTAATAAATTTATATTTTAATTTTATTGC